AAAAAAAAAAAAAAAAGGGGAAAACTCAGAAAAAAGCCTACTTTCTTTGATATTGTAATTATAAGTCAAAGGAGGGGAAAAGATTAGTAAAGCCTGGAGAAGAAAGTTGGCTTGAGCTGTATTGAGGATTATTGAGGATTTTTCAACGAACATGATTGTCAACGAAAGATGGGTAAATTTTCAACGGTGTAGGTCCGTCCAAGCTTGGAAATGTGTTTCTTTTCGTGTTTATTTTGGTTGATAAGGAAACTCGCACGCCGCCGATCTGATGTGATAGTCACCCTTAAAAAATGATTTATAAATAGTTTTTTTTAATGTAATTAAGGATTAATATATATTAGTTAAATTTATAAAAAAAAATTAAACAAAAAATAATTTAAAATTGTATTATTTTAATAAAACATTATATAAAATTAAAATATCTTCATTTTATTTTAAAAATTAAAATATTTTAATATTTTTTAATATGATTTTATTCAGTGTTTTCAAATTCAAACTTATGATAAAACCATTTTGTTTATTAATTTTTGGTTAGGGCAATTTGACCAATTGAACCGGTAGACTTACTCGGTCAAATAAAAATGGATGCATTTTTGGCAATTCTGGTATCTTTCTACTGTATTTCACATTTTTTTCTTGTAATTTCCAACTTTATATAACACTTTTCAATATAAATTGAACTTGGAAGACATGCAAATTCATATAATAATATCAAAAGTAAGTCTCAAAGCTAAATATATATACATAAAAAAGTTTTCGAACTAAGTAGATATATGTTATACAAGTCTCAAAATTAACAAATATTACATATATATATATATATATATGAAAAACAAGCCTTAAAAATTTAAACCATTGTGCAAATGATGCATAAGTTGAATTAGTTCATTGTTTTTCCTGTAGACGAAGAGGATTTTCATTAAACCAAGCATCATATTCACAAAAATCATTCTCACTATCATAACTATCATCATTTTCTTCACCAATTAACTCCAAGTCAATTCCTTTGCTTGTACTACTAATATGGAATGACCCTCCTTCACCACCTTGCTCTTCTTAATCAATATTTTGTGTGCTACTTTGAAAGTTGAAAAGTGAAAACATGTAATAAATAAAAATCAACAAAATAAATTATAATTGGAACTTAACTCATATATTCAACAAGATAATTCACAAAATGACATAATAAATTTAAAATCAAAACACCATTTTTAAAGTTTTAATTAGTTACTAATTTTCCTTTTGAGTTGTATGACATATTGATATTGTTTTATCATTATAAATCATATTCTTCAATTCATCAAAATCAAGAATTAGAGAATCATCCTCTTCCATGACTCATTCCTCAACATTGTCTATACTTTTATAATTAATGCAATCAAAGCAAGTCTTTTTTTGTTATTATTTCTATTATTCAAGATAAAAATAGAAGTTCTATAAAAATAAAAAATAAAAATAGAAGAATATGTAAACAATAATAAATGAAACTTCATGATAAAAGTACAATTATTATATGGATTAGATAAAGTTCTTATATTTCAAATGCAAATCACATCATAAGATCATTCAATCTTTTGTGCTCCAATATCTATTCATCTTCTTAATGTGTATTCTTTTAAATACATTCCAATTTCTTTCGTACCTCGAAAAAAACGATGTTTGACTCAAGAGTTGAATTGCTAATTTTTTAAAATTGGAAGTATTATATTCAAAATATTTTCACCACTCATCTATGAAGAAGACAAAAAGAAAAAAAAAAGTGTACAAGTGTTAACAAGTTAACATCATAAAGAATTAAATAAAAGTGCTATAATCTTTTCTTTTTTTTTTTTTAAGTTTAAAAAGTTGAAATCTTGTCAACTTTTATAGTTTTTAGGATTTAAGAGCACTTTCACGAGCAAAGCTTTCCATTTTTTTGTCATACAACTCACACTCATTTAAAATTTTAGACATTGAAAAATTCTCTTTATCATAGGAAAAAAAGAAAAAAAAAAAAACAAGATTTAAGTAATAGGCAATGGTATAAAGATTTTGATGAAGTTTCCTATCACACCTTTCCTTGGTAATTCTTATATAAGGCTTGCACAAAGACTTTCTAATCATCAATATAGTTTTAATGGCTTTTCTAGCCCTAACATGCCATCATAGACATATTCGAGTGAAGGCCCCTTGTCACCATCCACAATTCTAAATAAGCGAATACGTGGTCTTATAATTTTCATAACAAGCTCACAATTATTCCAAAATTTTTTATCTAGAACAATAGCCACAACATCTTTTGCCTTATAATCCTTGTAGTATTTAGACTCTATAAATTGTGAACTAGTCACTAATACTTGTAAGTCATGCCTATGCTCATGAACGTTTTTCAATGCAATGAATGTTGTTGTAAAACGTGTTGGCCCAGGACTTATGATTTCTATCCATCCTTCCCTCTTTTGTAGCCAAGCCAACAAGAAAGGATAATTGTATATAAATTTGGATATCAAAGATGCACAAGTTGCAAGATTACCAACAACCTACAACTTCCCAATACCACTCAAAATCAAGTTCAAGCAATGTGTAGCACAAGGAGACCAGAAGATTGTATGATATGTCATTTAGCAATCTCCGAGCTTTTTATAATTAGTTGCATTATTAGTCACTAAATGCATAGCATTATTAGGACCCACAAACTCAACCAATTTCCTAAATAAATTGCAAAACATGGTAGCATCTTTAACTACATCAGAGGCATTAACAAATTTCACAAAGGTAATTCCTCTAAAACAATAGAAAGCAAAATTAATTAATTGCCCTTTTTTTAATCTTGCCAAATGTGTCACCCATAATAATGCAACCAGTTTCTACTTAAAGATTCCTATAAGAATTAACCAACAATTGAATCTCTTTTTTTAAATCATGCAATAGATTGCATCTCATGACATGATAACTTGGTGGCTTATAACTAGAACCAATCACAACAATAGCATCAAGCATAGGCTAAAAGTAGGGAGAGTTGATAGCATTTATGGGTAGACAACTATCAAAAAAGAACCTAGCAATAGCCAAATCAGCATTATGGACAACATCTTTACCTGCCAATGCACTTCTAATTGATGGCTGAGCTCCGAGAGTGGTTCTTAGGGCAAAGAAATTTTGTCTCCCACTTGCCTTCCTTTTTTTGCCCTTATTTGTTGAAATTTCTAACCCTTTCCTTTTAACTTGAGATTGTGGAGTTGAGATTGTGGAGCTGAAGAAGGATTCAGGATCTCTTGCAAGTCTAGTGCATCTCCATCAAAATGTCCATATGGATTATCTTTCCATAGATTTTGTACTTGCTTCCTAGTTCCTTCAAATTTTGTTGCATCCAATAACGAACATCAAGTGACACCTTATCACACTTTCTGACATCTCCTCCTTTTCCAGCTAGGTGTTGTTTCAGTGTATTAAGGCCTCCTCCTTTGAATGTCTTTTGGTAGTGCAAACATTTAATTGATTTTCACGCCTTCTCTTACTTCAACACAATGCTTCCATTCTACATTTGTTTTAGCTCTTAAAGATTGGGAAGATGCAACAATTGAATTATGTGTGGAGCATGACATATTGTTTGCAATTCTACAATAAAATAAAAGAAATCATTAAAATAGATCAAAACAAAATAGAATTCAATTTTGAATCACCATTCAATTAAAAAAACAATTCTAATAATTGACAAGTTAGAATAAGACATGTACCAATTATTGAAACTTGTTTTTGTAGTCACCACTAAACAAAAACTACCAACTAGATTTTACAAAAGATGAAGGAATTTAGTAATTGTTTACTTATCTCTAATGGCTAGAATTAACATAAAAGGCAATATATATATACATATATATGAAATCAATTATTCTACTCTACATTCTAAAATATTCTCACTCTTTGCATTTGAATATAATCAGATAATTTCATATCTCAAGAATCAAGGCCTCTACTATTGTTTTATATAGCTAGAATAAAATATGCAAGACTGCTAGAGTTAGAGTTACAACACTGTCGAGAGCTGGAGGGAAGCAAAAACAGAAAAGTTCAAACATTTAGTGCTAAAACAACGATTAAATCAAGAAATTTGATCATAAAAAATAGAGTAGAAGTAGAAGGAGAACTAACATTGCAAGAGTTGGACTGAAGAAGTGGAAAGGAAGAGTTGAAGCCTGGGAGATTTTTGCTGAAATCATGGTTTTGCTAGCTTCAACAACACAAGGCTGAGCTATTAAGGAGAAGAGCCATTGTTGGTAGCAAACTCAAATGGACAATGAAGGCTAGTGGATGAAGGCATGATGGAGGTGAGGTGCTGAAGGCCAATCTCCTATGTTATAGCAAGAATCAGCAGACAAAAGAGTTAGAATAGCATTCCTTTGGGTTTCTTCTTCACCAATTTGTTTGGAAAAGCAATAGAGACTAGAGAAGTGGAGAGGAAGAGTTGAACTATCGAATAGGGTTTCTAATTTTGCCAATTTATCTTCAGATTTTGTTTTTGTTTTTTTTTTTTTTTTCATGAAATTGTAATGGATAGAAGGGCAAAAGGGGTAACACAACAAAAAAGGGGGTACAAAATAGACAATTAGCAAAAAATGGTGGAAAAAAAAAAAAGAAATTGTAGAGTAGAGAAATTGGACTGGCGGGTTTATTAAGTTTGTTGATGGGTCGGTTTGCATGCTTTCGTCAGGTATAGATGGTTTGATAGTCCAAACGGGTTTGGGTGTCCACCCAACTTGTTTTAGCTACAGTTGGACCAGTTTGATCAACCAGTTTGATCCAATTTTTAAAACATTAATTTTATTGAAACCGTTAGTTTTTGAATTTTTTTTGTCTAATTTTTTACGATATAAAATGATACTCACTCTTTCAATACAACTATATATATATGTATATATTATTTTAATAATCATTTTTTATTTTATTAAAATTCATAATATTATATATTTATTTAATAGTATATAAAAATTATATATAAATAAATGAATAGGAATCCACTAACATACAAATATTATACACTTTCTCAAAAAAAAAAAAAAATTATACAATATACTTATACAAAATCTCAATAATTTATTTCTTCATTTTCAATAGTTGAGATTTATTCACATTTATTAAAGATAATTCTCTTTTTCATTTAAAAATTTTTGATAAATCTTAACTATTAAAAATAAAAAAATTCTATAAAAAAAAGAGTAAAGAGATAAACAGTTAAGATTTTGTATAAGTGTAATATGTAAGATTTTGTATAAATAAATTTCTTCTCTAAATAAATTATCTAGATCTCATTTAACTTTTTTTTCTTTAGTGTGTTGGATGATAAACTATATAATAAGGGATAGAAAATCTTTTTCCAAACACTTTTTCACTCATTTTAAAATTTAAATTTTAAATTTTTAATATAGAAATTTAAATTCTTAATAATTAAATTGTATAATAGAGTTATTAACCACCAGGTACCTTGCACCGTAACCGGGCAATAATTTGGCGTTTAATCACCTTTCAATTTTAATTATTATAACAAAAAGAAGTGAAAAGTCTTCTTGTATGTGGCGCAGAACAATAGGGTGATTGAATGTTTTCATGCCTTCCCCAAGGACGGAGGCTACTTCTTGGAGGAACAATTCATCATTTGGTCACCTACCAAACAGGAAAATTACATTCATCAATTGTTTCTTTATCCTTCTAGAACATATCCTATGGTCGGTTAGCCTTAATTTTTAAACAGGTTTTACCTTTCGTCAAATCTAAAGATAAGTCAGAATACAATTTTTTGATTTTTTTTAATTTTTTTTTAAAGAATTACCATATAACAAATTTTTAGGAAAATGAGGATAATTTAGCTATTATTGTAGCTGATAGAACTTTGACATTTATTAAAAGTTTAATGCACCTTAACCAATGTGATTAAAGCCATAGCTGAAAAAGAAAAAGGAAAAAAAATGAAAAAGAATTATTATATAGAGAAAATCAAGACGTTTTAACATTAAGAATGTCAAGATATCTAATAGTCACATGATGAATTTGATAAAATTAGGACTCATACAATACTTGACACATTTAATGATTATAATTAAACATCTTAATATTTTTAATGTCAGAATATTTTAATTATTCCTTTTCCCGATCATATATAAGGTGGAGTTACAGTAGTTGGAGTACATAGAAAAATTTTTTTTTGTTAGTTTTAAAATTTAAAACTTTAAATTTAATTTATAAGATAATATTTATTTATTAATGAATCTAATATTTAGAGTTCATTATTACTTTTTTTATTAGATAGCACAAGCAATTGAATTTATGGGTCAAGAGAAAGAAGTATACGTTCAAACTTTTATCAATAGGTGAGAAAGCCTTTCACACTAAGAGACTTCTAGGTTTTTAAACAATATGCCTTTTGCTATTAAATCTTTTTATGATTTCAGTAATTTGAAAAAAAAAATCTACTTAAATTTTTTTTTTTTTTTAATTTAAACTAGCCTTCATAAGTGTATCTTGAAAACTAATTGCTCTTTGTGAGATTTTAGCAGTGAACTTTCATGTTGAGATGATGCATTTAAGTATTTTATTTTATTTTTTTTTTAGTATTAGTCTTAAGACTTAAACTCAGATATTGATTGATACACGTTTTAATAATGATACATATATTTTGTAAAATTATATACTTCGTTA